GAGGGAGGTAGTGAGGTGGAGATAGTGATGTGGCTGCAGGTGTAGGTGGAGGGGAGGTGGAGAGGTTGGGCGGAGAATGTAGTGGATGGTGGTGCAGGTGTGGAGCGTGGAGGAGGAGTGGAGGAGATGTGAGGTAGACGAGATGGGGGGAGTCGGGGGGAGGAGAGTGGTGGACGGTAGAGGCCGGTGGAGGGAGTGGAGAATGATGGTGAATGATGTTGCAGGTAGTGAGTGTGGTAGGTGAGGTGGAGGAGGAGGTGGAGGTGGTGGGTGGAGGAGGAGGGTGGGGCTGGAGGAGTGGAGTGGAGGTTGCAGGTGAGGCTGGAGGTGCAGGTGGTGAGAGTGGGAGGAGGAGAGCAAGGAGCAGAGGGAGGAGGAGGTGGGAGAGGAGGAGGAGGACGGTGAGTGAGGGAGGAGAAGGTGGAGGACGGTGGAGAGGAGCGAGGAAGTAAAGAGGAGGAAGGAGGTGGGACGGAGGAGGAGGAGGAGGTGGAGGTGCGAGGATGGTGGACGGTGGAGGTGAGGTGGTGGAGTGGAGGAGGGGTGGATGGGTGGAGGTGAGAGGTGGTGGGAGGTGGTGGAAGGTGGAGGAGGGGGAAGGAGGTGGAGAGGTGGTGGAGGGTGGAGGTGGCAGTGGTGGAGGTGGGAGGCAGGATGGTCGGAGTGGCGTGGAGGTTGGCGGGAGGGAGGAGGTGGAGGAGGAGGAGGTGGAGGTGGAGGAAGTGTTGGAGGTGGAGGTGGAGGTGGTGGAGGTGGAGAAGGTGGTGGAGGTGGTAGAGGCTGGAGGTGGAGGAGGAGGAGGTAGGAGGAGGAGCGGGGGTGGAAGGAGGAGGTGCGAGGGAGGTGGTTGGAGCGGCTGGAGGTGGTGGAGGGTGGAGGTGGTGGAGGGTGGTAGAGTGGAGGAGGAGGACGGTGGAGGAGGGAGGTGTGAGAGGAGGTGGAGGGGAGGAGGAGGGTGGGAGAGGTGGGGGAGGAGGTGGTGGACGGTGGAAGAGTTAGGAGGCGGCGGAGAGCGTGGAGGTGGGTGGAGGCTGGATAGGAGGAGGAGGTGGACGGAGGAGGAGGAGGGAGGGTGGAGGGAGGAGGAGGAGGGTGGGAGGGAGAGGTGGAGGAAGGAGCGTGGAGGAGGAGGAGGAGGTGAGCGAGGAGGAGGAGGTGGAGAGGAGAAGAGGTGGAGCGACGGCAGGAGGAAGCGATGCGACGAGGAGAGGTGAGGGAGAGAGGAGGTCGGAGAGGCAGTGGAGGAGGTGGAGGGAAGGGAGGTGGAGCGAGCGAGGAGTGGAGGTGAGGGGTGCGGGCTGAGAGGTGGAGGGGTGGAGGTGAGGTTGCGTGGGAGGTGGGGGAAGGAGGGTGGGTGAGGGTGAGGACGAGGAGGAAGGTGGAGGAGGATGGACGTGGGGAACGGTGGTGGGGTGGAGCGGTTAAGGTGGGAGGAGGGAGGAGGTGGAGGGAGGAGGAGGCAGGTGGAGGGAGAGGAGGAGGTGGGGAGGAAGAGGAGAGGGTGGAGGAGGAGGTGGGAGAGGTGCGACGGAGGAGGTGGAGGAGGGAGGGAGGAGGTGGAGGTGGAGGGAGGGTGTGGAGGTGGACGGGTGGAGGTGGCAGGTGGTGGAGGTGGACGGTGGTGAGGTGGAGGAGAGGAGTGAAGTGGAAGGAGGAGCGGGAGGAGGTGGAGGAGTGCGTAGGTGAGGTTAACGGTGAGAGGGCCACCTCCACCTCCTCCTCCACCTCCACCTCCACCACCTCCACTACCTGCACCATCATCCACCATCATTCTCCACCTCCCTCCACCGCCTCTACCTCCACCACCTCCTCCTCCCCCACCTTCCCCTCCATCTCCTCTACCTCCATCTCCTCCACCTCCTCCTCCACCTCCACCACCTGCACCACCATCCACTACCATTCTCCACCTCCTCCACCTCCACCTCCACCTCCACCACCTGCACCACCATCCACTATCTCCACCTCCACACCTCCACCTCCTCCACCTCCACCTCCTTCACCTCCACCTCCACCTCCTCCTACACCTGCACCACCTGCACCACCATCCACCATCATTCTCCACATCCCTCCACCGCCTCTACCTCCACCACCTCCACCTCCATCTCCTCCACCTCCATCTCCTCCTCCACCACCTCCACCTCCACCACCTCCCTCCACCACCTCCACCACCTCCACCTCCTCTACTACCACCTCCACCTCCACTACCACCACCACCACCTCCACCTCCTCTACTACCACCTCAACCTCTACCACATCCACCACCTCCACCATCATCCACCACCACTTCCACCTCCATCTCCATTGCCTTCACCTGCTACCTCCACCTCCACCTCCACCTCCATCTCCATCTCCTTCACCTCCACCACCCTCCACTCCCTCTACCACCTCCACTCCCTTCACCCACCACCTCCACCTCCACCATCTCCACACACTGAATGCCTACTTCCACTCTACTACTACTGCTCGTCTTCCTGGCCTCTATCTTTTTTCTCTCATTCTTTTGTTATTTCATTCTCCTTCTCCATCTTAAATCTTTTTATCATTCTGTTAATTTTGCTTAATGCCCATTACTGTTTTTTTTACTCAAAATTCAAGGCATACTGAGAATTTTCTTCCCACTTTAAACCAACCCTATATATTACTTTTAAATTATTATTAATATATATTTAAATGTTTTATCAGGGAATACTTCATATATACAAAAGAATATAAAATAAAATGGGCCAGGTATGTTGGCTCACACTTATAATCCTAGCACTCTGGGAGGCCAAGGAGGGAGAATTTCCTAAGGCCAGGAGTTCAAGATCAGCCTGAGCAAGTATGAGGCCCTAACTCTACAAAAAAACAGAAAAATTAGCCAGACATGGTGGCATGCACCTGAGGCCCTGCTACCCAGGAGGCTGAGGCAGGAGGATTGCTTAAGCACAAGAGTTTGAATTTCTAATGAGCTATGATGATGCCACTGCACTGTAGCCAGGGCAACAGAGTAAGACTCTGTCTCAAAATAAATAAATAAATAAAACAATCCTATGTAATTGATGTCCAAAAGAAATAACAAATTACCACAGGATAGGGTGCAGTGGTACACACCTGTAATCCCAACACTTTGGGAGGCTGAGGCAGGAGGCTTGAGGCCAGGAGTTCAAGACCAGTTTGGGCAACAAATGAGACCCCATCTCTACACATTAAGACAACAGTACCATCTTCCTCCCCCTTTCACAGGTTACTAGTACCTTGAAGTTTCTTATGTGTTAATTTTTGCAGGAGATAATATTTTAAAAAATATTTTGTGGATTCAGGATGGAAGGATGGTAAGTAGAGGGAGCCAGGGCACCTGACATGGTCCCTGGAATTCTCAGCATTTGAGTAAGACCATGACGGCCCCCTTCAGAAGGCAAGATGGGTTATTTAGGTACTTTAATACTGTGGTACCCCAGCCCTGGGCCACAGAACTCCACCTCCACCCAACCGTGGAATAATTGTCTTCCATGAAACTTGAGGGGGGGACGCACAGCAGGAGGTGAGGGGTGAGCCAGCAGAGAGAAGCTTCAGAAACTTCCTGTGTTTACAGCCAGTCTCCATCCTCACATCACTGCCCGAGCTCTGCCTCCTCCCTACCCTCTCCTGGAAAAATTGTCTTCCATGAAACCAGTCCCTGGTGCCAAAAGGGTTGGGGGCTGCTGCAGTTTAAGACACCAGCACCCTTTAATACTGTAAGAAGGATTTGCATGTTAACCACTCATAAAGATGAAAATAGGATGGCAGATCCATGATTTATGTGAACACTTCATGTGAAAAAGACCTAGAGACTTTAGTTAACTACAAGATTTATAGAAGCTGAAAGTGTTATGTGGCTCTGAAAAAGACAAATACAGTCATGGAATGTGTTACCAGAGGTGTCATGTTCCAGACACGGGAGGTGGCAGCAGTGGAGCACTCACACTCCAGCCAGAGTAGCATACTCAGTGTTGAACATCTGATGAAATAGCAAAGTAACATCTGTGCTTGTTCCATGCCCAAATGTTGATAATGCACAATGAGGAAGAAAAAACAATGTTACTGGCAATCTAATCACTCCAAATAACTATATTTAAATTTGGGGGGAAATATCCTTCCCCCAAAAGCTAGAATTTTAGGAGCTGAAAATTAAGACGGATGGTGATGCAGAGTGTGCACAGAGACGGCACCCAGAGCGGGGTGGGGACCGGGTGCTTAGCCTGACCCACAGGAAGAGCTGCGTCAGGGTTAGGGAGGAAGTCCAACTTCGGAGTCTAGTTTCAGAGAATACTGTTGGAATCACAGAGGGGGAGGAGGCTGCAGAGGGCGGAGGGTAACCTCTGTTCCCCATCCCAGAACAGACACATTGTAAATACACATTGGCTGATTTGACTGCCAGCTACCAGAGAAACATATAATGCACACGTGTCCTCGACGCTTGGCTCTTTGCCTCTGTAGTAGAACCCAGCTTAGCCTATGAACA